TATGTATATATATATATGTATATATATATGTATATATATGTATATATGTGTATATATATATATATATATATATATATATATATATATGTGTGTGTGTGTATAAAGTTGTTTTAATTCCTTCCCACACTCTAGCAATATTCTAAATAATGTTCCTAAACTCTAAACGCTCTAAAAGAGCACCGAATGTCATGATCGCTGCTCTCTGCCACGCCCACTTCTCCGCAGAGGGCGGAGATCACGACATGCACCTCCCTGCACCTGTGGGCTGCATGCGGGTGCTAAATCGTTTAAAGTAATTTATTTTAAATAAACAATCTATGCTGCTCGTGCGGCTCATCCATCAATCAGCTGTGTGTCATGTCCAATCTTACTTTAAAAAAAATAATAAGCGAAAGCGCGAGTCCGCAAAAGTCAAACCACATAGTAGTGAGGGACTACTGTATTATCTATAAAAGATTTAATAATACAAAGCAAATACATTTCTTATCACCGTCATCATTGAGTATTTTTATGTATGATCACATTTTGTACAAATGAAGCCAAAAATCCTAAAAGTAGGCATTGACCTTTAGTCATATTAATCGTATTGCTCATTTGGCCTTTTATCATTTTCAAAACTATTCGACAAGTGAAAGATTTGTCGAAAACTGGCTTTGAAAAGTTAAATTCTGTACTCATTGTGAGTTGGTTGGACTTCTGTAATGGTTTTTTAATAGGTTTCACAGACTAAATGCTGCTGCTCATATTCTCTCAAGTACTATGGAATTTAAACACGTTCCATCTGTTTGAAGATTTCTGCACAAGCTTCCTGTTGAAATCAAAATCAATCAAACCCTTACTGCCTGTGTATAAACCATAAATTGACCTTGCAACTCATTAAATAAGTGACGTGTTAACCAGTCGTGCATCACTGGGCTACTTTGTGTATGAAAGCTGCTACATCAATAAGGTTTCACTTCACTAACAGTCGTGTCTTTGTGTCATCAGACATGTACATCCTGGATGATGACAAGTGTGACATTCTGGACTCGTCAGAATTCTACTTCAACTCCAAAACTATCAAAGACCGCAGCCCCTTCACAATCTTGGCTTCTTCACGTTTTGTTCGCTCCCGCTTTCTTAACTCACTGTCCCTCCCCAGCAAGAAACTCCGCTCTACTAGTGATCCTAAAGCCTCTTCAGGCTCTCGCACCCCTACTGAGGTGAAGACCGATAGCTTGAGGCGGAACAGGACTGTGACGGAGCCCTCTATTTACAGCCCAAATCAGGGGGATGTCTTCACCTCTGTGTTCAACGGCAGAGGCATGCCAAAGAGTCCAACGGTTAGCCTAGAGACGTCTTTTGTTGGGACCAGGGGGGGCTCTGAGGAGCAGCTGGTGGATGGTAGGCTGGTGAAGGGAGGAGGAGGCTCAGGTCTTGGACTCAGTGGTTTAGGTGGACATGGAGCCATGGAGCACCACAGCCGGGAGAGGGAGCAGAGCAGCCGAGAGCGTCTAGCAGGAGATGGTGGCTCCTCTTCAAGTGGAGGCAATGTGGGAGGAGGTGGTGGGGGTACTCAGTTTAAAAGCCGCAGTCAGAGCTTTAACACAGATACCACAACCAGTGGCATCAGCTCCATGAGCTCCAGCCCCTCCCGGGAGACCGTTGGGAACCCTGAACAGCCTGAACTGGACTCCTCTGATTGTGTGAGCCTCAACACTGTTGTGTCTGCCAAAACTGTCAAAACACTCCCCTCCCTCAGCCCCCAGGCTCAGACTAACCACATGTCCATGTCTAAGTCCTCCAACGTCTCTCTGGTACCACCGGGCTCCTCGCACACTCTGCCCCGCCGAGCTCAGTCTCTCAAGTCCCCCTCAGTGACCACCATTAAAAGCCTGGCTGATTGCAGCTTCATGTACACCAGCCCGAGGGACGCGCTGGGTTACGCCACGCTGAAGAGGCTGCAGCAGCAGAGGATACACCCGTCTTTGTCTCACAGTGAGGCGCTGGCTTCACCTGCCAAAGATGTGCTGTTTACAGACACCATCACCATGAAGACCGGCAGCCTGGACTCCAGGTTGACTCCTCGCAGGTGGGTCAAACATCTCTACAGGGGCTGGAAGCTACATTTTTTTTTATGATAGTTTTTGTGTAAAGGAGAAGATGAGTGTTCACTAACCACCAAACAACATTATGGTATTTTTCCTGCTGGAATGTAGCTTTAGCAGATTTATTAAGTTTTATTGACAGATGTGAGCATGTCTGTCCACTTTATACTTTGTCAGGCTATCAGATAGGAGGCGCACCTGTCCAGAGCCTACGGTCCCACGTCCACACCGCAGGCTGTCCAGAACATTTGTACCGCGGTGGGTGGACCTACCCAGTGTCCTCCTCAGTAGAGACGCACCTTGTAGCTCCGGTCTTTTCTGCTCTTACTAGAATAGTTCCAGCTCAGTGCCTGCAGTTACTTTGACCTGTAGCGTGTGTGAGCTCCATGTAGACTGAATGTTTTATGATTTGTGCTTTTATTACATGTTTTTTTTATTAGGTTTACTATTGCATTTAAAACATGAAAGCTGGGATTATTTCAGGTTGTCAAATCACAGAACCTCAGTCCTGCCCAATATTAAAATTGCATTCTTCAGAAAAATGTGAGGAGATATCAAACCTTGATTTAAAAAAATTAATCATTTTGCCTCATTTTAGTGTTTGCCTCCATGTTGGTGATTGTTCTACATGAAGCGGTTGAGTTTAACAAGTCGCCGTCTCTGTGGTTTTATCCAACATGTTCCTATTCTCTCCCAGTCTCTCCCCCCGGATCCTCTCACACACCTCTCCTCTTGCCCTCCCTAGGTTTCTGAAAGCTCTCAGCTTTGCCTCTCTGGATAAAGAAGAGCTACTCAGCCCCATCAACCAAAGCACCTTGCACCGCTGCTCTTCAGTGCGCTCAATGGTCTCTAGTGCCACCTTCGGGTGTAGTGATGACTACATTGGCCTCGCGCTGCCATTGAACATCAACGACATGTTCCACATTAGGGATTCGACGTACTTTCAGCAGCGAATCAGCCCACCTTCAGAGGAGCGGAAACGCTTCCTTTTTGGTGACGGAGACGGTAAAATCCTGTTTCTTTACCTGATTAACTGATAAACCTGCAAGCGGAAAAAAGATTTTTAAATCTTTGCGATATGTTTGCAATAACCTCTGCAGGGGATCGGCCTGCCATTCCGTTACTGAAGCAGCAGTTCAGTATCTCTGAGCTGATCGTGTGCCGAGGTGACACTCCTAACCACATGGTGGGTTCAGAGGAGACAGGCCTGCAGGATCACACTGAAGAAAACTGCCTCTACTGCGTGGGAGCCATCATCCTCGGATATCCCTCAAAGCCACAGATCAATAGCACACACCCTCGCACAGGTGAGGGCACAAACACATATTTATACCACATGGATCTGCTTTAAACTCAGCACAGATTAATGATAATTATGCATTTTATTCACAGATTATATTGACTTCCCATCATGGGGAGGACAGAGCGGTCATCGTCTGGAGGTGATGCCCCAGTCCAAGTTCTCCGGGGTGTCAGGCTGCAGTGATGCTGCTGTGTCACAAGGCTCGATCTGCAGCACACCCACACCTGGTGACATTGTCATTGGTAAGAGCTCCACTGTCCACGATGTGTAAATAAAAACAGAATGCACTTATTTGCAAATCTCATAAACACACATTTTATTCCTAATGAAACGTAGTAAACACTGCAAATGTTGAAGCTGAGAAGTTCGATCATTTTTAGGACAAATAATGTGATTTTGAATTTGATGTCAGCAATACATCTTTATATACTGGTAGGTTGAGACAAGGGCTTCAAAAGGCTGTAAAATAAGAATGAGAAACGAGTGGAAGAGCATTTTGCAACTAATTAAGTTAATTAGCAACAGGTCAGTAAGAGGATTGTGTATAAAATAAAGATGGGCAGAAGTTTATCAGTCTGTGAAAACAGTGAGTAAAAATAGTGGAGCAATTTCATAATATGGCTGTTCAGCTGGGGAGACTTTAAATATCATCCACCATCATCTACAGTTCAAAATGTCTTCAAAAGATTTCTTCTCAACCTCTGATTCAGGTTCCAGCCAGAAGAACTGGTTACATATCAACAACATTTTGGACTTTCAGTTTGTGTTTGTGCTGTTACTATATATTTTTTAAAGATTAGCACCAACAATATAAATAATAAAAGTTCAGCAGACTATTTATCTTGACTGAACACAAAAGATATTGTGACAAATAATAAAACAGCAGTGATCCAATTTATTGTCTATGTTGTAAGAAAAGTAAAAAGTTTGTTTTTGTAGGTGGTAAGGCGTTATCTGAGGACGGCCCTGCTTCTCGAGTCTTGCTGAGGAAGGAGATTCTCCGCCTCATCATCAATCTCAGCTCCTCTGTTGGAACCAAAGGCCACGAAACAGGACTACTGACGTAAGTTTCTCTTTTTCAGTCTGGTATCCTCACAGCAGTCGGCCGTAACATGAAAACCACCTGCTCAGTGTTGTGTAGGACTCTTGCTGCATCATAGGTAGACTTTCGGCTTCACTGTGATTTAAACAGGTGGTTCACGAGTAGGGCTGGGCGATATCTCGATATTTTAAAAATATCGAGATAATTTTATCCGCGATTTAAGACAGGACTATATCGTCTATCAATATTTCTACATTGCATTATAATTGGACTTAAATCCAGTTAATTCTTTTTCTCCCATCTGTGCTCATCTGCACACGGCCCTCCCTCATTGAATACAAACACACAGCACCTCAGCCGCACGTGCTCCCCCCACTTCTTGCTTCTCCAGGTGGGCAGGAGACGTTTATCACAAGTAAATATGGGAGATATGAAGAGCAGCTTAGCTGCTGAACAAAAAGAAAAACAATGACTGTTATTTGGAGATGGTTTGGATTTAAATTGTCAGATGAGCAGCAGAAAAATTATTTCTGTAGACGATGCTGAAAACAAGTCCCAACAAAAGGTTGGAACTACGAATCTTTTTTCACCATTTAAAACAGCGCGCTAAGTTATAATCTGCAGCTCCGACAGACTTCAGCCTCCTTCCCTGAAACAAACCACGGTATGAAACTCATTTAGTTGTGCTATGCCTTATGGGAGGAAAAGTGAGAGGTGGCGCCGCGACATTAATAAATCAGCAGCTTATATCGCTAAAGACACGGTCCCAGTCTCAACTGTGGAACAAGACGGCTAAAGTGTTAGCCGCTAAGGACCGTGTCTTTAGCGATATGACAAGCTGTTGATTTATTAATGTTGCGGCGCCACCTCTCTCTGTTCCTCTCATAAGGCACAGCACAGCTAAATGAGTTCTGACCTGTGGTTTGTTTCAGGGAAGGAGGCTGAAGTCTGTCGGAGCTGCAGTTCATACGCTTACTAACGTCGTGAAGGCAGCACAGCTGAAGAGGATTATTATTTAATATATGTAAATAAAGGTCTAAAAAATAAACTAATGTATGTAAATAGTTCATTTTTTAGACACTTATTTTGTACAGTTACAGCTGTTTGTTAATAAATATGCCTGTGACAACTGGGACAAAGCTTAGACTCAGAAATATATTTTTGTTATTACTTTATGGAAAGAAAAAATATTGAGATATGTATCGTATATTGCGATTTATCTTAAAATATTGAGATATTAATTTTTGATCCATATCGCCCACCCCTATTCACGAGACAATGAATGACGGGACATGAAGTTATCCAGCAGGACTTGGCAAAGTTACAAAATGATTGATGTGTTTTACTTGTTGTGGTTTAATTGTTATTCTGAAATGTTTTAATCTTTTCTTCAGGATAAAAGAAAAGTTTCCGTATGCGTTTGATGACATTTGCCTGTACTCTGAGGTTTCTCACCTCTTAGCCCACTGTATGTTCCGCCTGACCTCAAGACGCTTCATACAAGAGCTCTTCCAGGACGTGCAATTTATGGCAGTAAGGGATCAAACAATCCTCTCTACCTTGTCTGAATCAGACTCCTAATCGTTGAGTGTTTTAATCTTTGTTCGTCCTCCTCTCAGATGTACGAGGAAGCAGAGGCAATGCTGACGAAGCTACCGAAACCTGTGGACGAGGACGTTAACCCTCCTGCGGAGTCCTGATCCTCCCTGTCCCACCCTGCTCTGTGCACAGCTGCAGTCCCGCCTCCTAACAATCATGGAAAGAAAGCAAGACTGAGGCTCAGACAGGAAAAAGTTGGGCATGTTTCTGTTGCATAAAACGGTATCGTCGTCAAGGACACAGGAGGTGGTCATCACCCAGCGTTCGTCAAGCAAATATGAGCTGGAAGCAAGAAAACAAATTTACCAACACAAAAACATGGAGCAGTTTAAGCCAAATGCTCTTCTGACATGGGGTCGGCAATCTTGACCAACACTTGATACATCCGTGTAATGCTAAAGGACAAGCTGGATCATTAGGACAAATTGTTTTAAAAACGTGTATCGTGTTCTTTTACAGAGGAGGTGGTTTTCTGTCATGGAGAGAATTAGGCATGTTGTCAGGTCTACATGGAGGTTCCTCAGACCATGCGTTCTTTAACAAAACACTAAGGAGGGATCCTGCTGTTTTTAACTCTTAACTCCAGCCTTCCTGCTGCTTCTCCCGCTTGTGATCCATGTTAGCCAGATATGTGTTTTTGCTTCTCTTTCCTCACCACTTCCTACAACTTTTAGCCTCTTGTCAGCTCATTACCTTTCACTTCCCTCCATCACAGACAATCAAACATCACTAATGTATTTTCTAAAGCATTATATCTACCACCTTTACTCAGTAGATAAGAAGCATAGCATGTAAGTTAATGGTAGTTTGTTCCATCCTTTACTTGCTTAGGACCTTTTAATGTTTTTTCTTCAGCCATTGCATTTCTACCGGGCCTCATGAAGGTGGTCTTTTGAAAGACGCTTACTTGTGTAAGTTGCTTGTCGAATGGTCGATTGATGACATTTCTAGCACCAAACTGCACACAGACGTTTCTAAACTCTTTCATAAACCTCGCAGCTTCTTATCACGATGCCTTCTTTCCTCCCGCACATCACCTTTACTGCATGTTCAACAAGCATGGCAAAGTTGTGACGCCACCTTGACATAGTTCTTTGAGAACCTTTTGTTTTTCAACAGGTTGCCATCACATGCTGCCATACACTGTAGGACTATAGTTACCCCCAGGATCTGTTCCCACAATGCAATATATCACTATGTGTCATTTGGTGAGGAGGAGAAAACGGAGGAGAGCGGTGCAGTGCTATGACTAAAGGATTTGTAAAAAGGTTTCCATGGAAACAGGGTTCTCCGTTTCCATCGGCTCGTTTTTGCTCTAATGCTGCTACACAAATGGACTCGTAGAGAGATGATTCATAGATCTGCTGAGTGATGTCAGACCTGATCTATTTATTATATGTCTGTACCATAGTGAGCTCAACCAGAGAAGAAGAAAATGTTATTTATATTTTTCCTCAAGACTGTATAATAATTTAATTGTTTATTTGTTTTGCTTTTTTGCCTGAATTGTGGTTTCCCTTGTATAATGTGTACAGTATGTTTTGGGGGGCATTGATGACCTAAAGAAACATACAATCCTATCAAAGGGATGCATTGTTAATAAAACGAAAGTTACGTATGTAACTACGGTTCTATGAATCCCGGATGACCGCCAGAGGGCGGTGCTGAAAGCACTGAATGTTCCCTTCGCGCATGCGCTGATTCGAGTAATAATACCAACGGAGTCACAGGTGTGACACGGATGACCAATCAGAGGCTATATAGCCCGACGTCATCCGCTGCTCTGCTCCTACAGAATCTTCTCGCGAAACGCAAGGATTCTGAGTGACGGAGAAGCTCTGGCGGTCATCCGGGATTCATAGAACCGTAGTTACATACGTAACTTTCGTTCTATTTCATCCCTCCTGACCGCCAGAGGGCGGTGCTGAAAGCACTGAATGACTAATATCAACGATGTCACAAGGAATCCTAACACCTACCTCACTGAGGAGGCCCAGAGGACCCTTGTAGAAGAACCTGGCCCAGGGGATGAGGGGTGGCCACGTTAACTCTATAAAATCTGGTGAACGTGCTTGGGGAAGCCCATGATGCAGCAGCACATATTGCTTCCAGCGGAACCCCTCTCAGGGCAGCCCAGGAAGCGGAGACGCTCCTGGTAGAGTGAGCCTTCAAGCCGACCGGCAGGGAGCCGGGCCCTGCAGCATAGGCATGGCAGATGACGTCCACGATCCAGTGGGAGAGGCGCTGTTTGGAAAGAGGACAGCCTAACCTAGGGCCTCCATAACACACAAACAGCTGGTCTGAATGCCTTATCACAGCAGTAGCTGCAACATATGCCTCCAGAGCCCTTACCGGGCACAATAATGCAGACCCCTCACCAGGCGCAGGCTGAAAACGTGCCAGCCTCAACGGTTGGTTAGAGTGAGAGTGAGACAACACCTTTGGTACGAATGCAATGTTTGGCCACAAGGTAACACACGAGCCCTCAGGGCCCCACCTGAGACATGAGGGGCTGATTGAGAGAGCATGTAGCTCGCTGACCCTCTTTGCTGAGGTAATAGCCAACAAAAAAGCCGTCTTACATGAAAGCCACTTGAGGTCCGCCTGCGACAGAGGCTCGAAAGGAGGACGGCACAGAGCTTCGAGAACCAAGGGAAGGTCCCAACCTGGTGCTCGTGGAGCTGTCGGCGGGTGTGACCTACGGGCACCACGCAGAAAAAGAGAGACTAGATTATGGCTCCCTACCGTACAGCCATCAATGCCAGCGTGATTAGATGATATTGCCGCTACATAAACTTTAAGCGTCGAAGGACAGCGACCCTTACCAAGTAGAGACTGGAGAAACTCCAGAATGGTGGGTATTGTACAGGAGACTGGATCCTTCTTGTGATCCGAACACCATTGGGAAAACAGGCGCCACCTGTTTTCGTACTGCTGACGAGTAGAGGGTGCCCTGGCGCCCAGGATGGTGCGTCTGACGGGGCTCGAAACTCCAGTCAGCTGCTGTCCTAGCCTTGCAGTGGCCACACCCACAGCCGAAGACGTTGAGGATTGGGGTGCCATATCAGTCCCCCCAACTGAGACAGCAAGTCCCTTCTGGTCGGAAGACACCATGGGACGCCCTGACATAGACTTCGTAGTAGTGGGAACCATGGTCGCACTGGCCAATACGGAGCCACCAGCAGCATCCTGTGGCCCTCCTCGAGGACTCTCTGAAGGGTTGGCCAAATTAGAGAAAGGGGTGGAAAGGCATATAGAAGGACCCTTGGCCAAGGATGAGCCAATGCGTCCTGGCCTAGCGCACCCGACGCCCCCGTAAGAGAGTACCATAGGGGACACTGAGTCGACTCTTCCGTCGCAAACAGGTCTATCTCTGCCTGACCAAAACGGTCCCAGATCATCAGCACTATGTCTCTGTGGAGGGACCACTCTCCCGGAGGGGACTCTTGGCGGGAGAGAAAATCTGCGACCTGATTGTGTCGCCCTGGCAAGTACGCTGCCCGCAGGGTGGACAGGCGAGGAGAGGCCCATTCCAGGAGCTCTCTGGACACACTCAGAAGTTGTGCTGACCTGGTGCCCCCCTGATGGTTGATGTGGTAGACAACAGAGGTGTTGTCTGACCGAACAAGTACATGCCTCCCTTCCAGGTGAGGCAGGAAGTGCCTGAGTGCCAAGTGCACTGCACGCAGCTCCAGCACATTTATATGCTTGGAATGGTCTCTTTGACCCCAGCGGCCCTGAACCGCTCTGCGTTGCCATACAGCCCCCCATCCCATGGAGCTGGCATCCGTTGTGACCACTTCCCTGCGACACACTACCACTCCCATGGGGACACCCCTGGACAAATAATCTTCGTCCCTCCATGGAGTCAAGGCATGAAGACATGACCACGTCACTGCGAGCTTGCGATGCCTGTGCAGCCTGGCATCCAGGCGAAAGCTGTTGAGCCACCTCTGCAAGGGGCGAAGTGACAGCAGGCCTAAGGGCACCACCCGAGTGACTGATGTCAGCTTGCCGAGTAGTTGCAGGAAGGCAACATAGGGGAGCTGCTTGCCCAGCCTGAACCGATTGACCAGCTGGAGTATGCCGGCCACCCTTTGAGCGGATGGGCGAGCTCTCATTGAAGATGAATCCAGAACCACCCCAAGAAAGGTGGTCGTCTGGGAAGGGATCAGGCAGCTCTTCTCCAGGTTGACATTGAGGCCTAACTGGGACATATGAGCGAGCAGGCGGTTTGTGTCGTGAAAGGCACAGGCCTGAGACGGGGCGCAGAGAAGCCAATCGTCTAAGTACGGCAGAATCTTCACTCCGCAGGCCTGCAGAGGAGAGAGGGCTGCCTTCACGCACCGAGTGAACACCCTTGGGGAGAGAGAGAGCCCGAATGGAAGTACCCGGAACTGCCAGTGGTGACCCCGATAGGCAAACCTGAGAAAGCGGCGATGTTCTGCCGCAATAGGCACATGAAAATATGCATCCTTCAGGTCTACAGACGTGAACCATTCTTCCCTTGTGACAGCTTGAAGGACTTCTGCTGTTGTGAGCATGTGGAAGGGCAGCTCCTTTAGGTACTGGTTGAGTCCCCTCAGGTCTAAAATGGGACGAAACCCGCCCGTCTTCTTTTGCACAAGGAAGTAAGTCGAGTAATAGCCCCTGGGTTGTTGCAGAGGGTCCACTGCCTCTATTGCGCCCTTGGCCAGGAGGGCGGAAAGTTCCTGGTCTAGTGCTTGAGCTTTCACCGGGTCGGCGATTACAGTCATCTTGACCCGGCCTGAGATACGAGGCCGCCGTCGGAACTGTAGCCGGTAACCATGGGTCAGAGTGGCAACCACCCATGGGTCCACGGCGTGAGCAACCCAATAGCTGAGCTGCTGGTGGGAGAAATATCCGACGGTCGGCCTGATGGCATCACCGTCTCCCTCCACGACCCCTAGGGGCCGTGGGGGGGCGGCAGCCAGAGTCCCTGGTCCGAGCCTGCCCAGCTGGTCGGTGGACCAACCCACGAGAGCTCCTGCTGGGCCTTTGCTGAACCGCATGAGGGTAAGGACCACCCGGCCGGTTATGACCCCCAGGCGGCGGCTGCATGCTGGAGCCAGCCGACAGGTGCCTTGGATGCCGAGGAGGTGGAGGGGGCATTGGCCTGCTAAGGCTCGAAAATTGCTGCCTTCTCTGTCGTGCCTGGACAGTCCGTTCCAGTGCTTCCAAGGCAGCCGAACCGAACAACTCCCCCGGCACCACTGGGACACTACGGAGGGCTCTACGGCATGGCTCAGTCAAAGCTGACTGAGCTAACCAGACCTGTCGGCGAGCTTGGACCAAGGAGGACATCACACGCCCAAGCTCCCTCGTCATTAGTGCAAAGGCCTGAAGCGCTGCATCGTTAAAGCCCATCGCTGCTGTCGCACCACTAGTCCCCTGAAGGGACGCGGAGAGGGCAAGCATTAGGTGTGCCAAGGAATTACCTAGGCGGCCAGCACGCGCTCCGGCGGCATAGGCTCTGCAGAGGAATTCATCCGTGACACGACACTGAGCTCGTGGGCACCGAACATGACTGCGCAGAGCTTCATCTGGTGACACGATGAGAGAGGCAACAGCAGGTTCTATCGCTGGCATGCGATCCAAGCCTGCTGCAGCCGGCTCATGCATGGCCGCCAACACTCTGCCATCTGCAGAGAGGCGCGCAAAGGCCTTGGGGTCCCGCCAGCAACCATGCAACTCCCTCAGGAACTCCTCTGATGGAGGGACAGAAAAGGAAGGAGGGGTCAGTCCGCGCCTGAAGAAGGCACTTCCAGGGGTGGACGCCTCTGGTTGCGGGACGTCCAGCTGCAGTTGTCTCAGGGCCATACGCATGATGTCCTGCATCGAGCCGTCACCCGACCCACTAACTGCACTCCGAGAAGAAGAGAGTGAAGCTGTCTCTGAGACTCGAGATGAATGCCCGTCCTCCTCACCTAAAAAGTGAGAGGCGGAGGCAGCCAAGGATAGCACATCCTCCTCCACAGCCAGTTCAGGCATGGGTGGGGAGGAGAGTCCAGTTGCTGCCACTGGTTCAGTTCCCAGTTGGTGTACCTGAAAAAGGGACTTCATCTCCGCTAATTCAGCGGAGAGCTGCTCCACCCTTGTGGAGAGGCCCCTATCAGACCTGGCTCGCTTCTTCCCAGGAGGGGCCACAGAGACTGCGGCCTCAGTCCGGCGCTTCGAGCGCCTAGGTGGAGCCTCCTGCCCAGAAGGCGGGAGGTCATCGCCGAGTTTGGGGCGAAACTGGGCCAGCCGGGCCGCCCTCACAGCATGCGACATGAAGCTGCAATTCATGCAGGGGTTCTCTGACAGGGCATCCACCAGATGGTCATGTCCAAGGCAGGCAGGACACAGGTCGTGACCGTCATCTATCTGGAGCATGGCTCCACAGACTGTACAGCAGTGAGAGCCGTCCATGCTCCTTACCCAGCTATGCCCAAGATATTCAGAGGGGCTAGCACCACTAGCTCAGCTGGTAAAAGAGGACAATTGGGAGAGGGGGCGCGAACGCTCGCCTTCACCAATCAAAACAAGGTCAAAACTCAGAGAGGCTAGCACCACTAGCTCAAATGGTAAAAGAAGACAATTGGGAGAGGGGGCGCGAACGCTCGCCTTCA